CGCGGGAAATGGGGTCCCGCCCCCCCCGCCGCCCTCGCGGCGGTCGCCCCTGTCCCACCCGGAGCCCTTAGTCCCGCTCCCCGGCGCTGCTCCGTTGCCAGGGGAGGGATTGCGGGTCACAGGCTGCGGAAGCGGCCGCCCCCGGAGCCCCTTCCCCCGTCCCGCGGGGCATGGGGGCGGCCGGTGCTGCACGAGGACGGGGCTCCCGCCCTGGCGCTTGTGCACCCCGAGGGGTCCCCGTTTCCTCACACCCCGGTGCCCTCCGCAGGCTGGAGCAGCTGGTCTCGCCCGTGGCCTTTGCGCCCAACAGCAGCCTGGACCCATGTGCAAAGGAGACGGTGCTGAACGCCATCAAGGAGAGCAGGAAGAGGGCTGTGGAGGAGGCGGAGGAGGAGGACCAGGCCTTCGGCAACGACCAGGAGAGCAAGAGGAGGTAACGAGAGCTCGTGCTGACCRGCAGTGCAGGTCACCGCCCGTGCCCTGGGAAGGTGACACGTGGGGCTGGCRCATCAGTGGTGGCGCCGTCCAGCGTGGACCCGTGCAGAAAGCGAGCTGCCGAATCCCACCTGCCCTTTGTGTGCCTCAGAAATTCCTCCAAAGCTCTTCCTGGTCCTTGGGATCGGAGGAGCTGGTTTAAATTTCTTCCTGGGCCGCCTTGTGGGTCAAGTGTGTTCTCTTATGTTGTTGGATATTGTGAGAGGCCTGGAGTGYGGCTTGAGGGAGGCTGTGGAGGCTTCACTGGAGGGTCTCCCGCCTCTTGGTAAAGGCTTCTGTCATCCAGGGTAGCCCAGTGGAATTTGGCCCCTCATCATGGGTCCTGGTGTCTTGATTCTTCAGCCAGGCCCAGTCTTCAAGGAGAAGTGGGATCCCCATGTCTGAAATTCAGTGTGGAAGCATCACACTATGAAGAGCTCTGGGTTCCTCCTCTATGTGTCTTAACTGGCAAAAGGAGGTTAAAGCAAAAGAGCAAACAAGAAGGGCTATCTTTTGCTTTTGTTAGTTCAAGGTCAGTGCTTTGCAGCACCGAGCTTCCCGAAATGAGGGTGCGGTGTCTCTGCCAGGGCCCTTGGGAGGACAGGGTGCGAGTGCTGGGCGCCAGGCTCTGCTGGGGCCCTTCAGGAGCGCCGGGCCCAGCGCTGCGCTTCCTGCCCCGTCCCCTCGCGYGCCCGCAGGCGCTTTGCCTGCTACCCTGCGCCGGCCCTCACGCACCAGGGCTGCCCCTCGGGGTCCGGTCTGTGCGGAGATGGGTGCCGCCCGCGCGCGTTGTCCCGGCTGCTGGCCCGTGGCGGAGCGGCGGCCGGCCCCTACGGGAGCCCCCGGCTGCKGCCGCTGTGGGAACAGACTCGAGGGGGATCGCAGCAGGTCACGCGATTTTTACATTCCACCACTTGACGGATCTTCCCCCTTACACCTCTACCCTTAAACCCTTTTCTCAGGTTGGGGAATGGTTGGTCAGCCGTGAGGAGAACTGAGTCTCTAGGATGGCACAGGATGGGGGTGCTGACAGAATCTGCTCGCCTCTTTTATTATTATCTCTTTTATTATCTTATTTTAATTCACAATACCCCCCTGTGCCACGCAAATGGATGTTAAAGATGTTCATCACCTGGAGAGCACAAAATAGTGCTCATAGGCAAAAAAATCCAGTGACCTTTGAGGGCAGAAAGGAACCTGTGCCAGCCGGAGATCATTGTGCCACCTGGGCAGGTGGGTCGGCCTGCTCACAGCTTCAAGGGGAGCGTGTGGACAAAGCAACAGGGCTGGTGTTGCACCTCTCCTTCTGCTGTGCGATCTATTCTTAAGACGTTTGGGCTTTGGTCATGAAAACTGTAGGAATGTGGGTCCAATTTTTAGCYCAAGTTGTCGATGGCACTGTCTAGGAAAAGGTGTGAAAAAACAGGTTTTGGAGGTCATTGTAGAGTGAACTGCTAAGTGAGTCTGAGATATTTTTGACTTGGAACAAGGGAAGTGGGGAAAGGCTGAATTAACTGGATACTGCTCTGCGTAGCAGTCAGACAGTGGGGCTGCTGGTGCTGCGGCAGAGGCACCAGGGATGGGAATGAGTGRGGCCAGGACTGGGCGGGCGGAGAAGGCTGCAGCCTGGGAGAGGAGAGGTTGGCAGCGCGTGGATGGGSAAGCTCCGTCCCAGGTGCTGGGTGGCAGGAGGAAGGCAGGGTTTGTGCAGGGGAGGGTTCCTGCCCCGCCTGGGCGGGCAGCCCGGCCCTGGGCCAYCTCTTGGCCACCAAATGCCCTTGTCCTCTCCCCCGCAGGCGCCACGACAGCAGCGGGAGCGGCCAGTCAGCCTTTGAGCCGCTTGTAGCCAACGGTGCCCCTGCCTCGCTCATACCCAAGTAAGTGCCCATCAAGCCCATGGRGGCTGCCCTTAGGTGGGAGGTGAATCCCTAGGCTCCTGCAGGCTCTGGAGAAGACGCTTGGTTTCCAGTTGTGGAGAGCAAGAGGGGTTGTGCCCTTTCCTTTTGCCTGTCACCCACYGTGGGTGCTCCAAGCACATGCCAGTGGGCTTCGGGCTATGCTGCTCTGAGGTCTTTTTCTCAGCCCTGTGCCATAAGAAAGAGCTGAGTTGGTTATCTCAATCTCGCTGCTTTCACAGGACTTGGGAGCAGATGGGGGGCTCATAAAACTGTTCATAACCTCCTGCAGGCCTGGCTCTCTGAAGAGGGGCCTTGTTTCCCACTGCCTGGACGACTGCTCGAACAAGAGGTCTCGCACCTCTTCCATGAGCTCCCTGAGCACCACGTAYGCTGGCGGGATCCCCAGCTCCGTCCGCAACGCCATCGCCAGCTCCTACAGCTCGAGCCGAGGCCTCGCGCAGGTAGGAAGCAGCTCTGTCCTCGCTCCCCCTGGAGCCCGGGGCCACGCGRAGCAGCTCAGCCCTCCTTTGGGACCACCTGTGTGACTCCAAGCCCGGGCTCCTGAGACGAAAGCAGCGTTGCCCGGTGCCCGGCAGCGAACACCCCGGCGAGTCCCCCGGCCGCTTGGCCGGGCTGCTTTSTCTGGCTGCATGGTGGGCAGACAGCCGGGAGCCGCGTTACTGTCCTCCAGTGCCTGCTTCTGTGGTGTTCCCCGTCAGAGACATCCTCCTGCAGTGCTATGGGGTGCTGAAGGTCATTGGTGTTTCTCCCTCTTGGCCTTGGCCACTCTGCTAGGTTAGATCCAGGTGGAGGAAACAAATCTTTCTGCTGCACTSCTTCCAATCAGTTGGAGTCAGCAAGTATCAGAGCTCTGTGTTCCAGCTCTGACCTGAGCCCCCTTGGCAGCTGTGGAGCTGCAGGAACAAAACACTGCTCAAGAATGACTCGTGGGTCAGGGCTGCGGATCTGACAGCGGAACAGTCATGGTTCCTGGAGCTCTGCYCTCTATGGGGAGGGAGGCTGCCTCCCTCTGTGATCCCTCAGAAAGGGATCTAGGGTTTTCTGTGACTGGACTAAGTCCTAAAACTTTTTTGAGGTTTGGGGTCCGTCTGTCCTGCGCTGGCAAGAAAATGGCCCTGTGCGCTCGTGGGCAGCTGAGGCAGCTTGTGCTGTGCGAAGGCAAGAGGACAAGTCCTCTTCCTTGGTCCACCCTGGGTGCTGGGCTGGCCTGTGAAGAGTCCAGAGGCTCCTGCTCCTGAGGTGTAATCACTCTGGGGTGCGCAGAACCTGCTTCGCTCCACTGAAGGTGGAGGGGAGTTAYGTGGTGATAGAATAGAATGAGGCAATAGACTCATTAGCTGAGGTTCTGGAAGATGGCATTTAACGTGTGAGCAAGACGGAGGATAGAACACTTACTGTCTCCCATCTCCTGCCCTAAACTGGTCTTTTGGCTTCCAGCTGTGGAAGACAAGCGGTGTGAGCATGTCCCCGCTGTCCAGTCCAGCGTCGTCCCGCTCCCAGACACCGGAGTGGCCTCTCAAGAAAGCCAGGTAACTAACCGTCGTTCTCGGGAGCTGTGGCTGCTCAGCCCCGGGCTGAAGGAGAGCAGGGCGTCTTTCCAGCGGTCCTGGTAGCTATGGACCCCTCTCGAGGGAGTTAGGACCATCAGAGCATCTTGTTACCAAGATGAGACTGCTGGGTGACCTGCCTGCGTGGGAGCCCTGTTCGTTTGCTGATGGTTTGTWTCTCTGCCATCTTGCTGTGCTGGTGTCCTGGCAGTAGCCCTGGAGAAGCAGAACTGCCCTGCTGAGGTCCCCTGTCCTGGTCTARTACCGTGTTACAGATTTAAGGAGTCAGGGCCTGCCCCAAATGCAACCGTTTTGTGTGGCAGTGGCACAGTCTGGATCGCCTCAGTGCCTGAAACTCAGGAAGAGCCCTGRTAATAGGAATATCAGGCCCTGATTATTGCAGTAATAGCATCAGAAGTGATTCACAGCGGGTGAATCTGTGCAGGATAGCACACTGGCATTTCAGTGCTTTGCTTGGAGCTTGTGCCCTTGTTCCTCTCTCTCTCAGCTCAGAGAAGAACTTGATTCCATGGAGAAGAAACGTGTCAGACCAAAAGCTGCCGTTTAGGTGGAAAGGGTGGGCCTGAGCGGGAAGTGGTATTTCCCATCTGGGACCTCTGAATGCTACTGGAAGCCGTTGTCAGCCCTGCGAAGCAGTGCAGGTTGCCAGACCAAGCTCTGATCTCAGAGATGGGAGCAGCTCCTCTGCTTGGAGCTGCTTTCCGGCTGACACAGCGGGTGCCACACAGGTACCCCTGGGCAGACTAGGAGCCTGAAGGGGCAGTGAGGAGCAGAGCTAAGAAAGCCCRGGATGAGGCTGCCAGGGCGGTGAGGAGCCTGTAATGAAGGCTGGAGAGTCTCCCTTACAAAGTCCTGTCTGGTCCTTGAGGCTGGAGATGATGTTAATGCCCACCTGTTCCAGATGTTATCTAGAGTCCAGTTGTTTGGCTGAGGCAAAGGTGCTGGTGGGAATCTTAGTGTGTTTGGCCTGTTCCTTCTAGGAATGAGGCCAAGCTTGAGGATTGACCCTAACTGTCTGTCTCCCCTTTGCGCAGGGAAGAGGAATCTCTTCACTCAAACACTTCTACTCCAGTGAAATCAGACAAGGAGCTTCAGACTGAAAAAGGTGAGTTCTGGCTTGTACCAGCTGTGGGCCAAGGTTGGATATGTCATCAGCTTGAGAACGCAGCATGGTGGAGTTGAGGTCTGCAGGTGGGATTGGCTTGCGGGGTTTCCTCGCCATTAAGAACATGCTGGTCCCAGGCCAGCAGCATTTTCTGCTGCCCTCTGGGTTTGGGTCATCTGAAGAGGAGTCTCCTGCGTCCCTTTCAGAAGGGACTAACATACTGCTAGGAGTCAAGTTCCTCCTCTGCCTAGAGGCGGTTCTGACTTGTCTCTCTCTGTAGTGGTGGAGACGCCCGTGCGGAAGAAGCAGAATTCCCTGAGCTCGCCATCCGTGTCGGGAAGCAGYGGGAAGCGCAAGCGGAAGATCCAGTTGCTGTCGTCTCGCCGGGGCGATCAGCTCGCTCTGGTACGTCGCTGTCTCGCAGCCCCTTGTGCCCTCCTCTGGCGATAGAATGTGCTCACTGCAATTTCTGCAGGGCTGGGGGGAGCCTGACCTGCCTGCCCTCAGGAAGGAGGCCCTGTCCTTGGCGGAGTGGGAAGTGACGCTATCCCCAGCCCCCGTGTCTGGTGGGCTGTGCGTGATTGTGCTGCCTGCTACCGGACCAGGTAATGGCCTGGGGAAGGCTGCCGAGCCCTCAGCGCCAAGCCGGGCACCAGGATAGGTGGGACTGGAGCTCTGCGGGAGCCTGCTGTGGCAGAACCACCTGCTTGACGGGGCTTGCGACGGCCAGGCTTCACCACACGTTCAGAGAGGTTCGTCCAGCTTCCCTGAGAAGAAGCTAAGCTGCTGCTCTTTCTTGGCAGCCCCCGCCGCCCCAGCTGGGATATTCCATCACCTCGGAGGACCTGGACGCGGAGAAGAAGGCAGCGTTGCAGTGGTTCAACAAAGTCTTGGAGGATAAGGCTGGTAAGGACTGCGCCCCTGGGCAGACTGGGAGCGTGAAGGGGTCAGCAGGGAGCAGAGCTCAGCTGGAAACCCCGAGGTGGAGCTGCCAGGGCAGAGGGCAGTCTGTGTAATGCAGGCTGGGGAGCCTCCCTAGGGAATCTGGTCTCTTCCTTGAAGCTGGAGATGCTGTAAATGCCCCAGAGCACGCAGGGAGTTAGTGTGACGAGCGAGGCTTTCCAGCTTCCGAGCTGTGGGATGTTCCTGCAGCTTCCTGGTCCCCGGGGAAGCTCTGCTCATGGGTAATGCCCTGTGGTGTGTTATGGACACTGATTTCTTGCCTCTTTCCAGCAGATGCTGCCCCCAGCACCACTGCAGAGACTACGCCTCCGTCCAGGCCACTGGTGTTCACAGTGACCTCCCCGGTGCCTGCGCCTGTGTCGACAACTGCACCTGCCAGCAGCAGCTCGCTCTTGGACAGCCTGAAGAAGATGCAGAGCAGCCAGCCTGCCCCCACGCCRGCAGGTGAGGAGGAGGAGCGTGAGCAGAGCGGGGTGCTGTGGCAGGGCATGGGAGCCCCAAGAGGGGCTCTCGGTGCTCCTCTGCTGAGATGCGGAGTGTGGAAGGCTCCGTCTGCCTGCTCTGGTTGCTGCTGCTCCAGGAGCTTTGGCACCGCTGCGTTGGCTGGCACCAGGGCTATCCGTGTATGATCCCTGTCTCTAAATCACTTCTCTACCTCTTTCCAGACTCTTCTGGAGCTGCAGTAGCGTCTCCACCATCTTCATCAGCGCCACAGCTGCCTGCTCCGCCTGTGTCGCTGGAGTCGAGTTTGCTACCAGTGACTTCTGCTGAGACCAAGCCAGTGCCCATATTAAGCATAACTGCCCCGTCTGCCCCTCCGGCCTCTGGGGCACAGCCAGCTGGCAGCCTGGCGACCCCTTCATCCACAGAGCTGGGCCAGACCCCCAGCAAACCTTCCTCCTTCCCAAAGCCAAGCGTCCTTTTTGGGATGCTGAGCACCCCTCCAGCCAGCCAGCCGGCAACGACAGCACCGGCTGCTGCCCCCATCACAACCCCTGTCTTCAAACCCATTTTTGGAGCTCCACTGAAAAGCGAGAGCCCAGCACCCTCTACGACTGTTACCCCTGCTGTGGTCATGTCTGCGAGCTCAGGCCCTTCCTCCACGTCTGCTACCACCACCATGTTCAAGCCCATCTTTGGCAGCGTGACAGCAGCTTCATCTCCAGCGAAGGCCTCTCCTTTCGCGTTCAAACCGACGGCGCAGCCGGCCTCCGCGGCAGAGCTCACAACAGCCTCCACGACCCCCCCTGCCGTGTTCACGGGCCTCCCTGCCGGCATCTTCACCACTGCGGCCACCACTGCCACCACACTGAGTTCTTCCACGGATGCCACCACTAAACCGGTCTTCAGCTTTGGACTCAACCCACCTGCCTCCACTGGCCCTACTACCAGCCTGACTGTTACCGCTGCCACGTCCACCAGTGCGTCTCAGCCGTTCCTGTTCGGAGGCCCAGCCAGCTCGGCTCCCAGCACAGACGGCGGCTTTGCAGCCTCGGGGCCTGTGTTCCAGTTTGGAAAACCAGCTCCGGCCCCAGTCTCCACCACCACCACCAGTGTCCCAGGCGGCTCTGCCTTTGGCCAAGCRCCTTCAAACACAACTGCTGCCACCACTGCTGTGGGGTTTAGCATTTTTGGAGGCACTGCGCTGACGTCTGCCCCAGCCGCCACCACCAGTCAGTCGGCGCTGACGTTTGGCTCCTCGGTGACGGCTTTTGGCAGCTCGTTCAGCGCGAGCGCGAAGGCGCCGCCGCCGTACCCGGCCACAGCGGCTCCGTCGGCTTTCAGCGCCGCTGCTGCGGAGAGCCAGGCGCCCGCCAGCAAAGCGCCCACGGGCCCCGGCGCCTTCGGCCCCTCCTTCACTTTCGGAGCCGCCGCGGCGCAGCCGCCGTTCGGCAGCAGCGCGCAGCCGCCGTTCGGCGCAGCCAGCACCCAGGGCTCCTTCGGCACCAGCAGCGCCCCGGCAGCCTTCGGAACCACCACGTCGGTCTTCTCTTTYGGGACTGCCACCACCACCACGGCCCCCTTCGGCTCCAGCACCCAGACCACAAGCAGCAGCACCGGCACCGCTGCCTTCAGCACCACCCCGTCTCCGTTCACCTTCGGGGCGTCTGCCCAGGCCGGTCCCTCTGCCAGTGCCTTTGGGATCGGCACCCCTGCCCTCAGCAGCGGCTCCCCCGCCATCTCCTTCAACTTCGGGGCCGCACAGAGCGGAGCAGCCTCCGCGGCAGCGCCTTTCGGTGCCTCCCTGGCACAGARCGCGCTGGGGACGCAGAGCCAGAGCTCGCCCTTCGCCTTCACCGTGCCCAGCACTCCCGACAACAAGCCCGTGTTTGGAGGTGAGGCCCCTCGGCAGGGCTGGCTGCGGGGAGCCGCTCTCCTCGCAGCCCTCACCGGGTTCCCTGGCTGAGGAGCCTTCCGCAGGCTGCTCTTTGTGCTGTTTTACCTCGCGCCCTGTTCAGGCTGCCACTTCTCAGCCCTCAGTCCTTTACTTTGCTCTTCCTTAGCCCCTCTAAATACAGGGGCTCTCTAGCTCAATGTGAGCTCTGAATCCCGCCAGGTCCTTCCTGGCCCTAGAGAAGAACCCTTCAGGGCCAAGGTCTTGGCAGCGTTTAAAAGCAGAGTTCCCTGGAGAGCAGAAACGCTTCCCGCCAGCAATTGCAGCCCCTTCTCGCGCATTCCCTGAGGCTTCCCCAGCCCCTTTGAGCCCTTCTCTGAACCATCCCTCAGAGTTGCAGCCCACATGCGGAAAAGCTCTTTGGTCTGGAAAGACACAGCCTGCAARCCCTCCTGGGCCTCCCTCTTGGGAGCTGGGCTGGGAGATTATGATGAGGGAGTAAAAGAGGGACCAACGTCCTGCATTAGATAGAAGGAGCTCTTGGGGGTGGCAAGGCTGCTTCTGGGGGAATGTATTCCTGCAGTTCATGGTGAGGGATCCCGCTGGTTGCAGGAAGTACTTGCACCCCCAGTCCGGACTCTGCTGTTGTCTTTGCTCTCAGTGGTGTTTTGTTTCGCAGGGACTGCAGCTCCCACCTTTGGGCAGAGCACGCCCGTGCCGGGAGCTGTGGGCAGCGGGAGCAGCAGCCTGTCCTTCGGGACGGCCAGCACTCCGGCCTCGGCCTTCGGGGGAGTTGGAGCTTCGTTTGGTAAGAGATCCCCCGGCCCCGAGCAGCTCCGCTGGGCGGGAGGGCCGGCGGCGGGGCCTGGACGGGCCGTGTCCTGGAGCCAGCGCTGTCCCTTGTCACTTGGGTAGCTCCTGGGCTCCGCGGAGGCTGAGCGGCAGCCCTGGCTGAGGCTGGAGGAGCTTAGGCAGCCTTTCTGCTCGCAGGGCCCTCGACTCCCGCGTTTTCCATCGGCGCGGGATCCAAGACCGGGGCTCGCCAGCGGCTGCAGGCGCGGAGGCAGCACACGCGCAAGAAGTGACCTCGCGGGCCCCGCGCCCGCCCGGAGCTCCGCGGCACCGCGCTCGTGGCGGCCRGGCCCCCTCCTCTGCCGGCGGGAGSCTCTGCCGGGGAGCAGTGACTGGGGTGGGAGAGGACAAACCAAACCCTTCGTACTTGAACAGTTCCACAGCCGAGGCTGGATGAACCTCTGTACATACCTGCAGCGTTTCCTCCCTCATTTTCTTTTGCCATGTTTCATCATATGTAAATTTTCCCCCTTGCTTCTTCTAGCTGTGCCTGTGCCCCCCGCGGCCCCCAACAGCCCTGCCCCGCAGCGCGGCGGGCGGCGGAGCCGAGGCGCCCGCGCGGCCGAGCACCCGGCCGTCACCAGCTCCTCACACCTTTCCCTGCGTGCGGCCTGGTGAACGCTCTTGCTCTGGAGGGTTCTGCTCTGAGCTGCTGGTTACCATCTTGGCAGGGCGCTAGCCTGGATTCAGGGCAGCGGGGCCCCGTGGGGTGGGCATAAGCGTTTCGGTGCCATAGGCGACTGATSCAGCTTCTGCAGCTGGGCAAAGACCCCCTCGTGCCCGCTTAGATCTCCCATCAAAGCTCCGGCTGGGGCCTCGTGCACGGGACGGCTGTGCCCGAGCACCAGAGCTCAGCGGGAGGAGCGCGGCGGGGCCGAGCCCCGCTCGGAGCCGCACGAAGGGTCCGAGCGCCGCGCGGGGTCGCGCTCCCTGCAGCCGCGCAGCCCCGGCCCTCGCCAGGCCCTGGGCCGACCCCGTCTGCTCTCTGTAAAGCCTTGTCTGCTCTGCTTTCTTTGTGCTCCCCTTCGATGCACCCATTGAATCGAGTTTGGAGGAAGAATTGAACCGTGTGCGTGGCGGCATGTTGGTTATGCCGGATTTGCTGTTTGGAGTTGATTTTTATGGGGCGCCCGTCGCCTCTTCAGGAGGCGGCGGCCCCCCGGCTAATTGGGTGTTGACAGTAGCATCACTGCGTGGCTGCTAGGGCTGGCTGTGTGTGAACCCTCGCGGTGAGCGCGACGAGGGCGGCGGGCTGGAGGGGATGGGTGGCCGCAGCCCTGCAGCCTCCTCTGCTCTCCCTGCTCTGCCGCCCCGCGGGGCCGGTGCCTCGGGATCTGCTCCCGGGAGGAGGCTGGAGAGGACGGTCCCCGCTGACCCCCGCTATGTTTCCTCACCTGGAGCCCACCCCTGTCCCTTGGGGTTTTTTACCAGCTCGCAAGAGCTGCGGTGCTGTGCCCCAAGCCCCCGTTCCCAGCCTGCTGGGAGCGGCGGCCGTTCCCGCCTCCGGGAACGCCTGGGGAAGAGGCTGCGGGGCCGGGGCCGCGCGGGAGGCCTCAGCGGCCTCCCCTCCGCCCGGCCTCGGCAGCGCCTCGCTGCCCGTTTTTACTCTCCGAGCCGTGTGAGTGTGTGTGTCTGCCGAAGTCTAAATTAAAAAGAAAAAAAAAAAGAATATTTAAACGTTTTTTAACAAAATAAAAATTTATTTTTATATTTAAGCTAAATTGCCTTGGAATTCCTTCAAGCTTGGTTCAGTGAGGTTGCCAGACCCCGCAGCGCTGGTGCTAGAGTTTAGCTGTGCCCTTGCAGCCTGGGGAGGAGCTGGTCACGGGCCGGGGCCCCGTGTCCCCSCCGAGGGCACCGGCTGCACCGGGAAAGGCAGCGACGTCCCGGGGCCGGAGTACCCCGTGGGCTGTGACCAGCTGCTCCTGCCAGGCTGCAACAAAATGTCCTTATTTTAAAATGTGCTGTATGTGGATGTGACTAACCCCCTTTCTTTCTTTTTTAATTTTTTTCTTACTTTCCCGAGGACGCGGAGCAGGAGCTCGTGCACAGTGCGGCGGCCAATGTGGTTTTTCTCACCGGCCGGGACACACAGGCCTCTCSCAGCAGGCGCAGGGAAGGGCCAGGGGCCGCGTTGGCACCGTCCCTGCCTGCAGGGGCTCGCGGGTGCCAGGGCTTGGCAGCACCCGGGGGCTGATGATCCCCCTTGGCGCAGGGAGCTCGGCCCCCGGGGCYGGCGGATGTGGCCTTGGGCCTGAGGCCCTGCCTCACGCTGGGCTCCTTTGTGCCCTTTGCTCATGGGAACCGGGTGCCACCTGCCCCCGGCTGCTGCTCTGCCCTCCTGCGGCCTTTGCAGGTGCTCCCTATGCAGGGAAGGAGGGAGAGGCTCCCCGGGGAGCCGGGGCRCGAGGCAGGAACAGGCCCGTGGGGCCCCCCGAAACGGCGGCAGCGCCAGGCCCGGCCGGGGACTCGCGAGGGCAGAGCGGCCGTGGGGCAGCATGGGGCAGCAGCGCCGGGCTGGGGGCTGCAGCGTGTCCTTGCTGGGCCTGCTTGCCCTCCTTGGGAGGCTGTGGAAGGACCCACAGCAGCTGGTGCCTCTGGCCTGAGCCCTGCTGCCCTTGTCCGGGGCTCGGAAAGAACAAAACTTGCCCAGGGCCAGAACTGTGTCCCCAAGGGGGCTGCTCTCCTGCCCGCCTCCCTCTGCTGCGCAGACACCTTTGGGTACCTGCTGGGAGAGAGCCGGGTGAGCTGTGTGACGGGGCTGCCGCGCAGGGCCGGGGAAGGGGGGCTGGCCTTTGACTCAGAACTTGGACTTGGATCATTCCTAGTGTGGGCGATGAGAAGTTGTTTTTTTAGTGTGAATGTGCAATTTTCCCCCCTTGCTTCTTCTGTCRTTGATTTAAAATAAAAAGACCATGTTCATGTTTGGCCCTTGTGTTTTCATTTCCCTACAGCGGCTCCGGAGGAGGTGCTGCTTTCCAGCCCAGGCCTCTTCCTCACCTTAGAACAGGGCCGSTGTAGAGAGGGACGGGATTTATTTCCCTGTTATTTCCCCTAATTGGCCCCACTTTTAGGGGACCTGTACTGCCGTGAGAGGTACCTGGGCACGATGCTGCACCGCACCTTCCCTGGCGGGAAAAGCTGGAGGCAGACTCGATGCCTGTTTCATCCCTGCTGCAACAGCCTTTACAGAGTCCTCAGGCCCCAAACCCAGGCACTTTAGGGAGCCAAAGGAGTAAAACATAATTAGTAAAACGTCATTAATCCTCCTGGAGCTGTCTAGCCAGGCAGGATCCCYGGCATTTCTGAGGGCGAACGCGGGAATCGTTTCGTTAAACCTCCCATCCTGCCCAGGTCTGGCTTTAGGAGCAAGTCTGTCAGGCTGGACGAGCAGTCTCCTCGATGGGGCAGCTGGGATCTCCATCCTGACGAGGGGCACAGATTTGCACATGTCCACCTCAGCTGCGGCTGGTGCGAAGTTTTCCTTTCCAATCCACAGCAGAGGCCTCACGGTCCAGGAGCAGGGACAGAGACAGAGCTCTAGCTCTAGCACGGAGGGCTCTGCCAGAGCTTGGCCAGGGGCAGTCCTAAAATTGCTACTTAGAATCACAGAATGCTTAAGACTAGAAGGGACCTTGAGAGATCACCTTGTCCAACGCCCCTGCACACGCAGCGTGACCCAGGGCACAGGCTGCATCCAAGTAGGTCTGGGAGATCTCCAGAGAAGGAGACTCCACAACCTCTCTGGGCAGCCTGTGCCAGGGCTCRGGCACCCTCACTGTTAAAGAATTTTTCCTTAACTTCCTGTGGAACTTTTGGTGCTTCGGTTTGTGGCTGTTTCCTCTAGTCCTATCAGTGGCCACCACTGAATAGAGGCCACCCCMTCCTCCTCACTGCCTCCCTTGAGGTATTTCTAGACACTGATCAGGTCCCCCCTCAGCCTTCTCTTCCCCAGGCTGAACAGGCCCAGCTCCCTCAGCCTTTGCTCMTAGGGCAGATGTTCCAGGCCTCTGATCATCCTGGTAGCCCTGCGCTGGACTCTCTCCAGCAGCTCCACATCCCTCTTGTCCTGGGGAGCKCAGAACTGGACACGGGACTCCAGGCACTGGAGCTTTGCTGGCAAAAAAAACCACATGCAACAGCAGAGTGGCGCAGCGGGAGCGTGCTGGGCCCATAACCCAGAGGTCGATGGATCGAAACCATCCTCTGCTAGTTCTTTGCCTCTCTGCTCCGTGGCTGTGCCAAGGCCCTGCAGCTGTGTTTTTGGATCACCAAAAGTCCTGCAGGATTGGGCTGTGTCCTATCACTTAGGCAAAGCCTTAATCACCAGGCTGGCCTACAAAAGGCTAATGGAAACACGACCAGAYTTGCATCCCGGCAGTGTTCTTGTTTATGTTTTCGCTGGTTTGGTTCTTAATAAGCAGTGTATCGCAGGACTACTGCTCAGTCCCTGAATTCAGTGCCTTACGAGAGGCGTGCTCTCAGAAAATGGCCTTCAAGGCCTGTAGCGTGGGGAAGACCGTTCATAATGCTCAAGGGCATTAACTGGGAACGCGGTAGTGAGTTCTACCTCAATGCCTTTGCTAGAATTAAAGGTATCTGTTTCCTGGCAATGAGAGAGACACCTCTGAAGATGATAGATGCCATTAATKGGGATTTATTTATTTATTTATTTATTTGCTTCTCTCTTTTCCTCGCTGCTTCTTCCTTCTCTTCTTGCGGGCAGGCTCTGGCTGCTCCTCCCCTCCCGGCTGCAGGCTCCTCGCGGCTGCTGTGGGCAGGGGGCTGCGCGCAGGAGCCAACAGCCCAAGTCAAGCACCCGAGGCCCCGCTCAGCCCCACACCGGGGCTCCTGCAGCCTTTCTGGGAGCCCGAACCCTCCACCCTCCCTTCTCAGTGCCCCTCTAGCCGCCCAAAGCCCCACAGTGYGGGCTCCGTACAGACATGCCAGGAGCCCCGAGCGCAGTCCCGGTYGTGGGGCTCGAGGCTCCCTCTCACCTGCAGGCAGCAGCCTCCTCCCCACAGCGCTCCAGCAGAGCCACGAAGAAGCCCTGGGTGAGCGTTTCCGCAGGAGAGGCTCGGAGGCAGCACTCGGCCCCAGGGAACGTGGCAAGTCCTCGGCAGGGCCACGAAGGCAACACGTTCACCAGCCTGGAGCGCGGGGCAGATGGGGACAGCGCTGAGCCTCCCTCTGCACCAACTGTGCCCTCGGTGGCACGCAGCGATGCTCCCACCACGCAGCGCAAGGCCGAGCACGCTCCCATAGCCTCCCACTACCCTGCTGCAGCACGTCTTTCCCCAGCTCCTCCCAAAGCAAGCCAACCTGAAGGCCGAGCCCTGCTCCTGCAGCACGGCCTGCACCACGTCCTCGTTCTCCTCCTGCTGCACCGAGCAGGTGGAGTAGACGAGGCGCCGGAGAGCCGGGAAGCTCAGCGCGTGGCTCAGGATCCTGCGCTGGAAGGCAGCTAGTGCCTGCAGCCGCTCGGCGCCGGGGGCCGCCTCTGCCGTGGGCAGCCGCGTCACCATCCCTGCGGGGAGGGCAGCAGTCGCCGCAGGGCCAAGGGCCAAGCACTCTGCAGCGCCCGAGGCRGCCGGAGCCCTGCGTGTTACCTGAGCCACTGCATGACGGGTCCAGGAGGATATGGGTCACTTTGCTGTACTTGGAGGCCCTGGGGTCAACGCTCAGGAAGTCCTGCTGGGCCAGCTCAAAGCTGGTGACCCCRGCCCGCATCAGCATGGTGTTCATGGTGGCCAGGCGCTTGGTGTCCAGGTCAAAGGCAAAGATCTGCCTGAAAAGAGTGCCAAGACCCGAGAGAAGAATGACTCGCTCACCACTGCAGGCTGCCCCAGCCACCAGAGCCCCAAACATCCTCTGTCTGCAGGGAGGCAGAGCTCCCACGTACGGCGCTAGTGGGACTCTCCTGGGGAGGATTTGTGGTAGAACCTGGGGAGTGAATCTAAACGATTCCCTGCCCCCCAAGTCTTTCAGATGGTTACTGTCCCCTCACAACTACCAGCGCCCTCCATCCCCCTGGAGAGGGTGTAAAGCCTGAGTTAGCAGGTGAGATTACAGGCTGCAGCTGAAGGCTTCAGCCCTGCAGCCCCCGCTTTGCGCGTGCGGGGCTGAAGCARTCCTGGGGCAGCCCTTACCCTTGCCTGTGCCCAGCAGCACGCGCAGCCGTGCTCACCCCTTGTTCTTCAGGATGGCAGCCACGTGGCTGGTCTTGTTCCCGGGGGCAGCACAAGCATCGATGACATGGGAGCCGGCGGCCGGACTCAGCAGGAAGGCAGGGAGGCAGCTGGCCTGCAGGGAGGTCACCAGACACCACGCGCGGAGCTGCAAGCGCCCCCGGCACCACCCGACCCCCAGGCCCCTCCTCAGCTGCCAGCTCCGCTCCCCAGGGGAAGTTTCTAGTGCTCCCTGCTCTCTTTCCAGCTATTTTCCCACCCCTGCAGCCTCTCGCTCCCCAGCTCACCCACCTTGTCCTGCAGGATTACGTGCCCAGAAGTGTAGAGCTGGTTGTTATGGAAGTCGGTCTGTGGAGGGAAGACCAGCAGCTCCGGGAGATGAAGATCCAACAGGAATTTCTTCCCTGAGAGGGAGCTCAGTTCCTCCACACTGYCCACAAGCCACACAGAGGATCAGTGCACAGTCCTGCCTCTGCAATCCCAATGCCAGGACTCCCTGGGGCCTGAGCGGAGGATCCCTTCTTCCCACGCCTCCACTCCCCAAGTGACACATGGGAAGGTGGAAGGTGAGAAGGAAGCGGGTCCTGGTGGAGATCCCAAATCTGCCACCACAGGCACTAAGATCAACCACGCTTCAACGTCCTGGATCTCCTCCCCAGCCCTCATCTCTCACCGACATCCCCCCAAGGGCTCTCAGGAGCGCACAGAGAGACGCTCACCTGGCTGCCTTGCCCAGGTAGGAGTAGCCCTGGCGCTTGAAGAAGTCRATCACGTCTTCCACGCAGGTCTTCAGGGTGTTCACGCGGACGTAGCGCGGCAGCGCTGGGGGGACCCGCTCGGGTGAGAGGTGCCGCCGGGCGCCGGCCGGAGCGCTCAGCCTGCTGCGCAGGGCCCGCCGGGCGCGCGGGGGATCTCACCTGGGGCGGGTGCCCCGGCCGCCGGCGCCAGCAGCTCCTCGTCGCGGCTCACCCGCCGCCGCACCTTGAGGCGGGCCAGCTCGGCGCGCAGGCGGGCCCGGTGCCGCCGCGCCAGCGCCTTCCACCGGCCGCCGCACTGGAGGCCCTTGCCGAAGAGCAGGTCGTAGACGAGCACCTGCGGGCGGCGGGTGCTGGGGCCGGGCCGGGGCCGCGGGGCGGGCGCGCGGCGCCGGGGCGCGCGTTACCTTGGCCAGGTGCGGGGGCAGCTTCCTCTCGGCCTGCAGCAGCGCGGCGCCGTCCAGCACGGCGTCCAGCACGGGCGCGTAGCGCAGCGTCTCGGCCACGAGCGCGTAGAGCTGCCGCACGCGCTGCGGGCGGCGCGGGGCTCAGCGCCGCGGGCCCCGGCCCCGCTACACCTCGTGCCCCCGCGCTGGCCCCAGGCCCCGCCGCGGCCCCGCGCTGGCCCCGCCGCCGCCCCGCGCACCGGGAAGCCGCTGCTGTAGACGAGCGCCTTGATGCCGCCGTCGCCGCGCTCCAGGCCGGCCAGCACGGCGGCCGCCGCGCTGTACAGCGCCATGTTCCCAGGCCGCTCCGCCGCCGCGCTCGTGGGCCCGCCCGGCGGAACCGCCCTCGCCCAGAGCCGCTTCCCGCCCGGCAGGACGATCCCGCCCCCCGGGAGGCTCTTTCCCCTCGGCGCGGGCGCCTCGCGCTCCTGCGGCCGGGCCCTCCGCCCCGCCGGGCCCCGCCGCGGCCGCAGCGCCGCGAGCTGCCCCCGCAGGGCCCCGCGCAGCCTCCCGAGCGCCGCACACAGAGACGGGCGCTGGGGCACAAATGGCCACGCTCGGCTCTTTAATAGCCACAGCCCCGGCAAGGCCGGCAGCAGGGGACACGCTTCTACATCGGTCACGGAAGAGCCCGGTCCCAAACGCCGGCTTGGCTGTTCCCGAGGGGCTGGGGTGGCGGCGCACCGAGGAGCAGGGGGTCCTGCTGCTTGAGGCCACGCGGTTTGGTTCTGGAGCCAGCTGGGAGCACGTGTTGTGGAGCAGGAGGCACCGCGGGCCCTGCTCCGGGTCCTAACGCAGGAGGCAGATCCGCCCCGGGATGCTCCACCACAGCCCGAGCCTTGGAAGAGGCAACGTGGGAGGATGCGGCCGGCGTGAGGTGCAGACGGCAAAGAAACGTCAGGTAATGTTGGGACAGGTAACCAGCTGGGACACAGCGCCCATGGTGCCTGCGATTCCAGCCCCGGAACAGTTTGGATTTCAGAAGGAAGCCAGCAACCCCTAAATCCTCAGTGACTGCTAATAAAACCCATGGTCCGTGTCCGATGTTTTGCCTGACCTTCTCCGCCGTGCCCCACAACCAACGTGCCCGGTGGGGCAGCTGGAGGGCAGCAGGGCTGCCCGGCGGGCAGAGCTCGGTGGCTGCCCCGGGCACGGGGTGCCCGGTCCAGCTCTCACCTCCCTGCGCGAGCACCTCCGCAGAGCCGGGGCTGCCGCCGCCTCCGCCACGGGCCCGCGGCCCTGGCTAACGGCCCGGAGCCCGGAGCCCGGAGCCTGAGCCAGCATTCATTTCTCTGTAGGGAGATCTTTGCAGGCCAGATGTATTTCAGTTCTGCCTCTTAGGCTGAGGATGGGTATTCACTGATGAATTTTGGTTGTTAGAGGGGATTGGAAGGACCCTTCCTGGGTTGCTGAATCTTCTCTAGTGGAACAGGTTCCCCATCAAATAACCCTGTCCACAAAATGACTTTTGTCTGTTGTAGGAGGGAGCCCAACTACCAGTGCAGGTCCAGAACAGCCTTTTGGTGTTTGGACAGAAAGAGGGGGCAGGAATAATCCGGGGGACAGGACCTAAGGCAGGCACTAGCCCTGAACCCCCTCCCCACTAAYAAAAGGGGCACAGCGGGCAGCTTTGCTTAGTGACACATTCCTTGTCGTGAAGGGCCCAAGAACCTTTTTCCATGTCCTTCCGATAGCTGAGGTGGCACCCCAGGAAATAATGCAAGCCGCAGTCTTTCCTGGGCAGCAGTTCATCCCACTGGACACACTACAGCTTGGTGGGTTCCTCAGGGGTAGGATGTTTGTAGGGCCCGTGGGGGTGCTGGCTCACGGCAGGCGTGGGCAGGATGATGGGCACCGAGTAGGGCCCTCGCTCTGGCCAGCACAGGTCCACAATGGGGTAGAGCTGGCCCTGGAATTCCGCCTGGAAGGTGTAGATGGGGCTGAGCTCATCGGGGCTGTCGGCATTGTAGAAGGTCAGCTCTCCCTTCTCATAGTGCAGATAGATGCCAATGCGCTGGGGGCGGGCAGTCAGGGGYAGGGTGGCCCGTGGGGTGGTGAAGGCCTCATAGACTTTCCCTTCCTTGAGGCCAATGAGCCACACGCCGTGCTCAGGAGACTTGTTGAGCTTCCCTTTGCGGCTCACCGTACCCTTGATGATGCCCACGCGCCAGTGGTTCCTGCTGCCCACAATCACCTCCCAGTAGTGCTGACCGCAGGAGAAGCCCTTGCTGGTGAGAATGCAGTTGCTGGAGTTAAAACGCTTGGGGTTGCTGTCGCGGCGCTGGTACAGTCCGCACTGCACCACTGTGTCACCCTTGAAGAGCTCCAGGAGGGGATGGGCAGTCACGGGGTCCAGTTTCAGCATCTCTGGAGCTAAAAAGAAAGCATTCAGACTCCAGACACACCAGCAGGCAGCAGGACTGGCCCTGGGTGAGGCCACCTCGGTTGGGAGGGCCAGGGACAGCCAGACAAGCTGGCCCTGCTGCACTTTAAGCAGCTGCGCTTTGCCAGGCGGGCTGTTACTGGCCTGACTGGGCCAGCCTTTGCTCCAGGCGCTCTCTGGAAGTGAGGGCTCGCAGCCACGTCCAGAGAGCAGGACAGAGCCCGGGGGCCGCGTGTTGCCAGCTGAGCAGCCTGTCCCAGCAGCTCACACCAGCAGGCCAGGTGGGGGTGATCACCCCAACACCATCTGCTGGYGTGATGCCAGTGGGCAGGTCAGTACCTGGCAGAACCCGGCGGTGCAGGCGCTTCCACACAGTCATCTTGATGTCATCTTGATGGAAACACGGCTTGAAGGACACAGGGCTGAAGATGCCTTCTCCCAGCTGCAGGCTGGGAAGCTCTGACCTAAAAAGACATGGGCAGCTATGACACAGGTGACAAGGATGGCGTGTGACCCTTTCTCACCTGGCTGCTATGTAGGATGGTGCCACTGTTCTCTCCCCAACTGCTCTTACCTTCCTCTGAGGCTGCGTGCGTGGGTGCAGCCACGGCTCTGCCCCGCTCTGCCTCACCTGCGCTGCCCACACAGGTGAGCAGGGCAGTGTGTCCTTGCCAGGCTGTGCCAGCACAGGCCTGGGCCCAGCGGGCCTAGTGCAGGGGCACTGCTGTCCCCACTGGTGCTGTTTGCTGCTGGGTGCCATCACTCACCTGAAGTGGGAGGAGCTGTATTTCTGAAAAAGAAAAAAAAAAAAAAAGGAAAAATAAGAGAGAGTTGGTGCTGGAGGAGCTGGCAGCTCCTCTACCTGGTCACAGCTCCACACACATGGGCCAGAGAGGCCCGTGGCCCCTTCTCATGGGAGAACTGAGGGCAACACCCTTTGTGGAGGGGTATGTTGAAGGGCAGGTCTCTCCTACCTGTGAAAGACCCTGTTTGGACAGAGGGCACCTGCCTCTCTTCTTTTGGTTGCCTGACTACTCTGGATGGTCGGACCTGCTGCCTATGAGCAGTAGGGCTKTGGGCTGCAGAGCCTGGCTGGCCCTCACCACCTTTGCCAGGTGACCCCTGATGAGCACACTCACCCGGATGAAATCAAGTTGGCTTTCATTGTTGAGCATCTCCAGCGAGCTCTCCATCTCCTTCAGCCTCTGCAGGGCATCTGACGTCTGCTTGAGCTGGGCCTCAATGGAGGTGACGAGCTGGGTTGCTTTCCCTTCGACACTCTCCAGGAAGGTGGCCTTCTCCTCGTCAATGTACTTGTGCAGCTCCTGGAACTCCTTACGGGTCACGCACTTGAAGACATCTGCCTCGTTCTGCAGGGAGACAGCATGCAGTTGTGCAGGACCAATTTGACCCTTCACCTTCACCTGCTTTTTCATTTCAGAAATTCCACCAGCAAAGTCTACGTGTTCCAGTAAGCTGTCCTCCACCCACTTTCCAGAGCAATCCTTCACAGAAAGCCTTCAGGGATGCTTTCATCCTGCTGTCCTCAGAGGCTCGTGTCTCCAGTATGAGAAGCAATGCCCCTGCTTCACACCTCCCCTATCTAGGTTTTGATTTCCTAATGTCTCAACCAGCTTCTCTGGAGGTCTTCAAAACCTGCCTAGATGCCACCATGTGCCCCGTGCTCTGGGTGTCCCTGCTGGAGAAGGGAGGTTGGACTAGATGATCTCTAGAGGTCCCTTCCAACCYTAATGATTCTGTGATTCTGTGACTCATTAGAGCCTGCTGCACAACAGAGCTCCTGGATTGCTGCGCTCCCGTGGAACAACCTGTGCGCTGAACCAAGGGGGACAAAGTGAAGCTACAGCTTCATTTGGGTTCAGTCTTTTCAATGAGCCCTGCAGAGAAGTTTTAGGCTGAAACAGATGGCAGGAGGTCCCTAGGAGGAGCCTACAGCAAAGGAAGGCAACATGCAGCTAAACCAGGCGTGAACTCAATGTGAAACTATCAGCATTGCCCTAGATGGGAAACCGGTCCTGAGTAGGGTGTTTTTTTACCTGTTATCTCAGCACCTACAAGGACATTTGGTCAAACCAGTTCTGACCTGTGCTCCTACCAGGGGGCTGAGTGCCACCAGAGAGGGCCACGTCACCACTTCTGGAAACACGTCTGGGCCACCCCTGTGAGTGAGTGAGTGAGTGAGTGACCTCGGAGAGAGCTGCATCACCCTCCTGAAAAACACACCATGCCCTTCACTGTCATGGAGAACAGCAATCCCAGGGAAAGGAGTGGAGGACAGACCATGTCTGCTGCCTTGGGGAAAGGAAAGGAGGAGAGGAGAGGCAAGGGGATCCAGCAGCATGGGTTGTCCCAGCAGCTATGAGGCCAAAAAGAGGAGTCCAGCTCCACTGGCGTGTAGCACTCACTGCAATGCGGATTTTGTTGTTGACGAGCTTGCCGAACTGCTCATCCAGGTTCTTCTTGCACTGGTGGACGTTGGTCAGCAGCACAGACAGCTCCTCCTGCAAAGCAGCAGATCTCTTCAGTGCCAGCTGGCTGGATCACAGGCCGTGTCCCATGCTTGCCCCTGAGCAGCGGGTGGCCCCAGCAAACCACGTTCTCCTGAGCTTCCCAGGAAAAGCCCAGGCCAGCGCTGGGAGCGCCTGGGAGCACYCTGCTGATCTTCACTGATGCAGAGGATCTGGGGCTGCCAGAAGCAGGACAGCACCCAGACCACAGCCCTGATGCTGCCAAGCAAAGCACTCTTAGCAGGACCACTGGTAAGGTGTCTCTACTCCTGTTCCCAGCCCCCCAGATCCTTTCCCCTCCRTATCTTCCCCCACTGGTTCAGGCAGCATCTTGCGCTCCATGGTGGCTCCACAGCAGCTAAGGAGGAGACGAGCAGGCTGCAAGCCAGCACCGGGCCCACGACACGCAGTGCTGGTGCCAGGGCTCTGGCTTGGGCTGCTGTTTCTACAGCCTCCCAGTCTTATCTGCCCAGTGTCAGGAGCTGAGAGGACCGGTGGCCCTGTGCTTTCATGTGACTCGAGCATGGGACGCTGTTTACTTCAGTTGCCTGAGGGCCCTTTTCTCCCTGTTCTCCTGCAGCACTTAGCCCTTATCTCCAGACTCCTTTTGATGGCATTTGAAAGCAGTCTTGAAAGGCCACCCACTCTCCCTGACCCTCAGCTCTCCCCACCGCGCTTTAGCCACCCCAGCTGAGCTCATTCGGCTGGGGACATGGTGAGATAGGGCCTCAGAGGGGCTGCCCTGCGCAGGGACGATGCCTCCCGCCTGGCTGTGCCGCAGGCCCGGGACACCCAAGCCGCATCATTCCCAGCCTGCCCCTTGGAGGGGCCCCCGCTCAGCAGCAGTGCCCTGCGCAGGGCTAAGGTGCTGCAGGTGCCYGAAGCCCTCCCCGGGGAGCGGCCGCCAGCCAACCTTCATGCGGCAGTACGTGGTAGAGATGGGCGAGATCCTGTGCTGCCGGTGGCTGCCGATGGTGCCGCAGAGCCCGCAGATCACCTCTTGGTCGTCCTCGCAGAAGAGGCTGAGCGGGTTGTGGTGGTCRGGGCAGGACTCCGGGGCGGCCGCTGCCTCGGCGCGGCTCTGCAGCGCCTCGATGACGCGCGCCAGCGTGACGTTGGGCGGCGAGGCGCTGCAGTCCACGCGCTGGCGGCACACGGGGCACAGGAACTGCCCGGGCAGCTCGGCGGACAGCGACACCACGCACGACTTGCAGTACGAATGGCCACACTGCAGCATTAGCGGCTCCTTGAAGACCTCTAGGCAGATGGGGCAGAGGAGCTGGTCCTCCAGCTCATCCATGCTCATCTTCCGAGCCATCCTTCCAGCACATGCAGAAGGGACCTGGCCTGGGAAACGCAGATAGATCAGGAGAACAGTCCTATTGCAAAGGAGCAAAGTAAGCACTACTTAAAGTGAGTAGGAAAGTAGTAGGAGTAGAACTCACTACTTAAAGTGAGTAGTAAAGTAGTAAAGAGAGAGTTCACCACTAGAGGAGGGTGAAACAGAGAGCCCCTCACATACTTTCTAGCTCACACACTTGTTATGCTCCAAGCAAAGTCCAAGAAGGTCATTTTAGTCTGAGAATGCCTGGCAGATCGAGCCCTGCCGACACGGGAGCCCACCTGGGCCGGGCCTGGATCTGCCTGGAATGTCAGTGGTTGCCACCAGCCAATGACCACCTGGGACCTCTGCCTGGCAGCTGCGACAGCCTGGAGGCCACCTCAGGGGTACCTGTCTGTGCACTGGGCTGAGACACAGCCAAGAGGGATCTTCTGCTGAAAAATAAAAAAATACAGGGATCCTGGTCTGTCTGAATTTCTATAGGTGTTGCTGGGCTCACTGCCTCATCCTCAGCACATCCTTGGAAGGACCTGCGTCAATGCAAGTGTCTAAGCAAAAGCAGACAGAAACCACCAAGAGAGTCCTTACCTAAGAGACAGGGACAGTGAGGACATGATAAACAACCCTGATGGCACCAGGTTGATACGAAGGTTGGGAGCCCCAGCTGCCGAGGCCGGGGCTGTGGTTGTGCCTTGAAACACAGCAGGGTTCTGATCCTCACAGCGCCCCACGCTCCGGGCCAGCACCTGACCAGCTGAAACCACTGTGTTTAACTGGCCTTGCTCCTCTGCTATTGCCAGTGCCATGGGATGTAACCGCGAGTCCCTGGGCTCGATGCTTGTCCGTGCTGGGCAGCAAATGGCTCCTCCCGAGCTGCTAGAGCTCGTACCACATTCCCAGGGCAGGGARGGCACCAGCACCGGGGCGAGCACCCCCAACCTGAGGCCCAAGCCCTGGAATTGGCACTGCTCTCCCAAAGAAAGCTCTTCCACTGTTCTCCCTATGCTGCTGCTCAGTCCTTCGTGGTGGAAAACACGTCAACTTGCTAGCGTTTCCTACAGCAAGGATGAAAACATGGCAGTGTGGGACACATCTGCTCTTTCCCCACAGGGCACGAGCCAGGGTGGCCTGAACACCATGGGGGGAGTGCAGGGCACAGGGCTCCTACAGCCTCCTCCCTCGCACGAAAATAAACCCGAAGTTGAAAGCAGAGACTCGATCCCTTCTGCAGAGAAGGGGAAGGCCGCAGGCTCCGATCAGCTTTGGGCATGCTCCGCTCATCCTGCATGTGGGAAACAGCTGGGGAATCAGGCAAGGAAAGTTCCCGTTTCAGCTCGTGACAGTGCGACTCAGAGCCCCCGCGGAGGCTGCGCGCGGAAGGCAGCCGAGCGGCTCCCTCTGCGCCCGGACGCGCTCCCTCCAAGAGGTGCCCCCGCAACATCCCCGTCAACGAGCAACCCACTTGTCCCGTGCCCCGGCTCYGCGCAGCCCCACCGATGTCACTCGTCTCCTCCGGACCAAGGGAAGGTTCAGCCGCCGGTGGCGTGGCGGATGTGCCGAGGCGCCGGATCCGCAGGCAGGAAGGTGGGCGCCGCCGGCCGTGCCGCGTGGGCGCAGGCGGCAGGACGCGCAGCGGCCGCGGTGCCCTTGGGAGCGGCGCCTGCGCCGGCCGCCCGGGAGCCGCACACGTCACGGCGCCGCGCGGCGCGATAAGGGACCGCGGTTCCACCGCTCCGGCGGACACTTCCAAGAGCCCTGCTCTTGTTTCAGCCTTGCTTGGGTCAGTGCAAATATTTTCACCAAAGTCCTTTCTTATCAACGAAAACTCTTTTTCTTCTCTTTTTTTTTTTTTTTTTCAGTTGGAACCCTCCGTTTTTCCTTGACATTGATACCTTTCATTCTTTTCAAAAACACCCGAGGAGAACCCAGAGCATTCCCCCGTTTGGGATACGGTGTGCGTGTGTATTTTTTGACTGTAAAAACATCGTTTCTTGGATAACTGTCCTTCTGCTCGCAGACTGATGGCAACCCCACCAGCTTCCCTCTTCACATCAGCCCAGGTCAAACATGCGACAAGGCTTTGCAGGCACAAGGGCCCAGCCTTGGAGGCTGCCCTTCTGCAGCCRTTCGAGGGGCGAGCAGAGAGATCCTGGGAACAGAACATCTACCCGTGGCTCCGGAGACCTGCCTTGGCAAATGCTTGGCTTCTYTGGGGCTCTGGAAACCAGAAAACTGCACTAGTTGTTTTTCCAAAGAGCCAGGGAGGGAGTGTGTTTGCAGGAGCCTCTGGAGGTCACCCAGCCCAAGCCTCCCTCGCCCGCAGCGTTGCTCAGGATGGCGTCCCAGCAGGTGCTGAACGTTCCCGGAGGAGACTCCACGACAGCCGCGACAGCCTGGTGGCTGCTCGGCCACCCCCAGAGCCACCAGGTCCCCTCGCATCCAGGCAGAGCTTCCCGTGTCCCAGAGCGCGGCCGCGGCCTCG